GAGCATGATCTGGAACAGCTGATTCCCAGCTCGCGCCTGGTCCCCTGCCCCTGCTATGGGGACAGTGCTGAGGGGAACCGGCTTTTAAGCCAGCTTCCCCATCTTGCTGCCTGATAGAGGAAGCAAGAGGGGAAAGTGACTAATCGAGTAGTGACTCGACTACCCAATAAGAGTATGCTTACCAGATAGTCAACTACTCGACTAATTGCTTACATCCCTAATATTAAGAGAATATTACATTTATATTACTAAGAAGTCCACAGTCAGTAGAGGCCTCAATTACTGATAAGATTCCACATGCAATCATAACTCTGTCTTCTTGAATAGACGCAGTATGATGCAATCTTCAAAGACATTTGTCATGGGTCAGGACTTGCTATATCCCAGAGCCTTTTCTATTTCTCAGCGTAACATCTTCAGGTGTTAGGATTCTTGCCGTTACCTCTTTTGTGAATCTCGTTACCTCTTTTGTGAATCTTGCAGTTTTCTAACACTCTTGACTGGGTCATCAGTGTCTACCACATTGTTTGCTGACTATGATTACTTAACAGGCCCAGCTGGATTCAGATATCATGCAAGATTTCCTTTGGGATTTGTAAGCAGTGCTTGCCTTTTCCCACAACCATCAACTTGCTTATCAGGTTGACCCAAAACTTAAGTAAGCCTTGTTTATTCAAACATCCCAAAGCAGCTTCTGCCTCCCTCCTAACCTATCCTTGCTATAAAGTGCATTTCTTTATTCACTCCCAAAGTTCTTTATTTCTCTTGAACTTGGTTTCTCCAGAAGAGATAGACTTCCAAAAAGTTGATTGTCTACACTGACCTTTAATTATCTGGCAATGGGGGCAATGAAGAAATTTGTTTGTTTTACTATATGCATCTCATGTCTGTCATTTCATGCCTGAATTAACCTCTAACAATCTTATAGTGAAGAACACAAACAAGCAGCTGCAATACATAATATTCATAAAATATGACAGGCACCACCAAAATCCTTCACATCACAATCATGTGTTTTTTCTCAAATAATGGTCTGATATTGTTCCCCCCGCCCCAAAAAGTGCAAAGATCTTCCAGAGAATTAGAGCAGGGATTTCCCCTGAAAACCTCTCAAAGGCTGTGTCTAGACTGGCAAGTTTTTCCGCAAAATCATCTGCTTTTGCGGAAAAACTTGCCAGCTGTCTACACTGGCCGCTTGAATTTCCGGAAAAGCAATGATGATCTCATGTAAGATTGTCAGTGCTTTTCCAGAAATACTATGCTGCTCCCGTTCGGGCAAAAGTCTTTTTCTGAAAGACTTTTGCGCAAAAGGGCCAGTGTAGACAGCACAGTACTGTCTTCCACAAAAAAGCCCCAATCGCAAAAATGGTGATTGGGGCTTTTTTGAGGAAAAGCGCGTCTAGATTGGCCACGGACGCTTTTCCGCAAAAAGTTCTTTTGCAGAAAAGCATCCTGCCAATCTAGATGCGCTTTTCGGAAAATGCTTTTAACGGAAAACTTTTCCGTTAAAAGCATTTTCGGAAAATCATGCCAGTGTAGACGTAGCCAAAGTGTACAAGAGACCCCTGTAACTCCCCTGCAGTTTGAGGATGATGGGTGCTTAAACAAGCAGTTCACAGGGTCCTTTGCTTAGAAATTGCACAGTTTCACTATGCACATGCCATTTGGCTTTCAACAGAAAAAAAATCTATTGTGCATGCACAATTTCTATTTTCAGCTGTCATTTGGTCAAATCAAAACCAGATTTCATGGAATACTAAAAAATATTTCTCCTCCATTAAGGACTATGTCCATACCAAATTTCAACTTTCAAATCTCCAGCTATTTAGGATTAGATTTGTTCAAAAAATCTTGTAAAAATGTATTTTTGTGAATAAGTATTTGTTTACTTCCTTATCACTCCAAACTAGCTAAACTGTTGTTCACCTTCAGCAAGGCTGAATAACTCCAGACTAATTGATGACAGTTCCAGAAGGGACTGAGTAATTAAGTGCAGCTAAAATGGAAATTAAATAATCTTATCTACAACAAGCATGGCTACACAGGATAACCAGTCATTAGTCAGAGGTATGAGGACATCTTTGACACAAAATTACCCTATCCCTCATTATTAAGCACTCCTGCACTTTTTTCTAAGCACCATCCAAAACATAGTCTAGAATGCCTAGCACAGAATTAAATATTTTTCTAACATTTAACCTGAAATAATTAACAAAAACAGTAGTAAAGCAACTGGTGTTACGGTCCCCAGTATATCCTTAATTTAACATTATGCCAGTTAACAATGCTTTGTTGAAATTTTTTTGCCCACTAAAATGCATCAGTAACAATCTTTACCTTTTCCTAAAGACAAAGCTGGTGGCACTACCAATGTTTATTGTTACAATAAGACAGAATTTCCTTGGGCATGTAACTGCGGAATATATGGAACATGCCCATGTTTGTCTGCTCAGGCCTCTTGATTTCATATTGCTGGTTTATAGCTATCCACACTCTGAGGAATCAGGAATGTATTGGTTTTCTCAATATGCTTTTAAGAAGTTTCAGCAGAAACTTTTAGTGGATTACTAAAAGCTTGAACCCCAACAGACTGTTGCCTTGTCCAGAACCTGCAGCTGCTTCAAAGTATTCTGGCTGCCTGATACAAAATTTTAAACCACTGCTTCTCAGGCATGGTGAGCAGCTAATCCACTTTGTCTGCTGTTCTGATGGACAAACCAGGATTAAATTTACTGAATGAGTCTTGGAAAAATGGCTTTTTCCGTTTTGCTAGCATTAGTGGAGAGACAGGTAACATCTAATTTTAAATCCTACAATCTAATTCTTTGCCACACATCGGAAACTGGGCTGGGAGCCAAGAGATAATGCAACATGCCTCTACCCACTGTCAGGAAACTACTGGTTTGAGTTAACCCTTTAAAGATTGGGAGAGGGATTTTATGGATTTATTACAGTAAGATGCAGAGATAATATATAGATACAGCCATGGCATGGATTCAGTTCTGAAATTATTTTCAGACATCCAGAAAGCTGTTTCCCCTGAGTTTGGGGAAAATTTATACTGGAGATACTTAGAGGTTATGCAAAGAAACAGGTGTACAAATGCTCCCTATCAGAAGTGAATATCACTTAGACCAAATGGATTAATATACTTCTAAAAAATCAGTATTTCTATACACAAGTAGTTAAACTTGGATTTTTTAGAAGGGATTTTTGGTCTAGTATATGTGAGATAGGCATTGTCTTTAGCAGTCAGGATTTTAAGGCAGAGACTACTTGGTAGGCACTTTGCCTCCTGAACTTAAAAAAAAAAACAACAACAAAGAAAATGGAAAAAAAAGGCATTCAGCAGATGGAAGAAAATGGAAGAAAGTGTTTTGCTGGTCCCCATTCAATCTCCTTCCGTAATATTTTTTCTTTGTCATTATGCTCTATATGACATGGCATTCTACTACAAATCATGTATTCTCACTCAGTGACACATAGCATTAGTGTAGGCACTTACTAGAGGACTTGCTTTTATGTGATAAACATTTATTTACATCTACACTAACTGTTGTTCTTTGGGATGAGTTGGGCACATATAGGTTCCACTTGAGGAGTATGTGCACACAATATCAGCAGTACCATTAGGGGCTTCATGAATTACTGTTGTACTTGTGCACTAAGTTGAGAGCATGAAGGAGTCTGACTGCTATCTCTCCATCCATTCCTTCACATTTCTGTGATCTAATACCCTAGTAGCGGAGAAGGTGGGAGGGTAATGGAGTGTATATGTGCCCAACTCATTGCAAAGAACAATTATTATACTGTAAGTCACAGATTTTTCTCCTTGAAGATGTAATTATTACCCAAAAATATCCTATTGTTTTAACTGACCACAGCATCAGAGATGATGTCAAAAGGTTCAAGGAGGAATCCATTAGGAAAGAGCATACTAAATTCAGGTTCCATAAAGGTACTGGATGAGACACAGGAGTGTACATGTAAGTCTCTTTGAAAATCTGGACACAAAAGAGATACACGAAGATAGAAAACTCATCTACTGAGGTGGGCAATGCAGAGATAGATGTTGGGTTGTGACTAAACTAAAGACACTAGGTAGAGGAGGTAATATGTTTTATTAGACCAACATCTGTTGGTGAGGGAAGACAAGCTTTTGAGTTTACAGAGAGCTTTTCCTCAAGTTTCACTGAATTGACAAAGCAAAATACAGGACTATGTAGCACTTTAAAGACTAACAAGATGGTTTATTAGATGATGAGCTTTCATGGGCCAGACTCACTTCCTCAGATCAAAGGAAGTGGGTCTGGCCCACGAAAGCTCATCATCTATAAACCATCTTGTTAGTCTTTAAAGTGCTACATAGTCCTGTATTTTGCTTCAGCTACACCAGACTAACACGGCTACATTTCTATCACTATTCTGAAATGACAAAGACAGCAGAGGTTTTCAGATACAGCAGGTAGCCTAGCATATATCTAATCTCCCAAGGTGTCCGAAGTGCTTGAGCCTGGAGTTGACCAACTATGTCTCCTATCTTGTGGTGGATTCATCTGTTAGTAGAGTGATAATCAGTGCTTTTTATTATAAGAAAAAAGGTGCCAATACTCCAGGCTCAAAGTTGTTGAGCAATAAACAAATAAATAAATAAATAAATAAAAGGTGTGCCGGGGGCCCAAATGTGGCCGTGTCCCCTTTAAGAGCTGCATGTCCCGGGAGCGCTTCTCGAAGAGGAATGCAATGTAGACATACGCTAGCTAGAGGCCTGCAATAAAGAGGAACATTGCAGCAAGCGGGCTATAGCCATGGAACGTGACATGATGTTGGCCATGCTGTAACTGCTTCGAAGAACTGCTCTTTTTACTCTTTGGCAATTTGTCTGTAAGCTTTGTTAATGAAAGTGTATTTGGACAACAGTGCCTGATCATTTGAATACTCATAGTGATATAAGCCTGTCTGCGATGAAAATATAGTTTCTTATGCTCTTCATCTTTCAGGGTAACCTTAAGGTGAGACTGCCTTGGACACTCATTGGTCATTGTGAACACTGGAGCATCTCGAACAGAGTGAGTAAATAAATAAATTGCTACTGAGTGACCTGGTAATCTCTGTCCGCACATTTGGCCATGGATAGAATGGAGATTGTTGTTTGTCTTCCCAGAACATGAGTTTACAAGATATCTAATACTTTTTTTAGCTGGTCTTGCACAAGTTCTGCCTGCACCTTTACACATATGACCTCGTTCCACAGGAGGCTCTGAAATACTTTAAGTCCTCATAGGGCATTGATGCCAGTTTTGGAATTATCTTATCCAGAGAAGAAGATATATGGGGTAGATGAAATATCAAAGAGTTCTGCTGGACAGTCTTTCCTAGTAGTCAGTGGTAGTGCAGAAAGAAACTGCCTCCTATGTTGTCTCTCTGATGGGCACTTAGCTGTTCTTGCAGCAATCCAAGATGCCTTATAAGGGTATTCCTCTCTTTGTACAGCCCATGTTGGTGAGCCCCAAACAGGGTGTCTCTGTAAAAAACAAAAACAAAACAAACCTGTTCTTGGCCTATGGTATGGATATTCATAGAGTTGACCAGTATGGTGACTGGTGACTTGAAGGATCTTGAAGAAGGTACATCTATTATGGTCAGAATCTGAAGAGGAGGAAATATAGATCTTAGTAAACGGTGGTGCAGTGCCATTAGATGCTCCTGGAGGCCTTAGCACCAGCAATACAAGGTGCTGCCCTAAAGGTGCCAACATCAATGATGTATCTGATAGAGCTGCTGGGAACAGATGAGGTAGTTAGTAGGCAGAAAGGTAAATTAATGTGGACTGTGCCACATTAATGTGCTGAGCTGATGTTGAAGGCTACATGGACAATGCCCATAGAACTGCCGGTACAATGGCAGCATGTGATTTTGATGGTACAAATGTGATTGAGACTGGGTGATGTAGTAAAAGGAGAGTCCAGAAGAGGAGAGAAAACATCCTTGCACTGCAAAGACCACTTACAGGTTCAAGAGAATGACTTTTAAAGACAACTGTTTGTTCCCAATAACAGCGGTATTGGACTCAACATTGTGAGAGCTGGGGATCTGCCTGTGAAGGCACTGGTCTCAATGGTCCTGCTGGAGCAAGAATGGTCAGTGACACCTCAGATCAATACCATTGAATGCCAGTGTATGCGACCAGACTGACTTGGTACCCTCATAAGTATGCTGGATTCTAACAGATGGATGATTTACAGATGGCATGATTAAGGTTGATGGCTTTAAAAGGCCACAAAATGTGAAAAGTTATCTGAGGACTTTTTTTTTTTTAAACAGAAAGAAATTATGGAGAACTAGAAAATTGGAAAGCAAGACCATGAGTATTTGTTTAATATATTGTTTGTTTTTTTTAAAAAGACTACCAACCCATACCACATGGTTTTTGCTGTATAAGTCAAAGTTATCAGATACAGTCTCAGGGACATGATACGTAGTCTTGCCACAACTGTATTCTTCAGAGGTCCACATTCCTTAGGCTTCTTGGGATAGAGAAAGAGGAAAAACAGCATACTTAGGGTGGTTTAATGAGCCTGGGTCTCTAGTCTCCCCACTTTTACTAATACGATTGCGTATGCTAGGTCAGTGACATCTCATCTCAGAAATCTTGTTAACATGAAAGCACCAATTTAAGTGAAATGTGTCATTCTCTGCCCTCCCTGAATAATACAATTTAAATAATTAGAATAAAATTACTTGTTTTTTGTATTATATTGGGTTAGACTCAATAGAATCCTAAGAAGTGTGCTGGAGGAGCATTGCCAGAATCAGTGGCCACCTACCTACCTCTTCTGGCCCCAATTTTTTAGCCCAATGAAAACATTGGCTGGCATCCTATCTACCCTTGGCTTCCCTGTTGCTTGCAATGCAATCTTGACTGCTTCTTGAAATTATTTTTATTGGGAAATTTGTATAAAATTACCATAGGAAGCATTATCATTAAAAATGCAACCTGCTTCAAAACATTTCGTAAAAATCAATGCCAGTGTTAGATGTTTCATTATTATTTATGTAGCAACCACAGTCTGTGAGGGGATTTTCAAACGGATAAAAGACAAGCCGCAACATAACCAGGGTACAGCCTAAATATAAAACAGGCAAGGGAGAGGAGGCCAGTGACACTGCAGTGGATCACAAACATTCATTCCAAAGTGCTATGATCTGGATGCTTCGTTTTTAAAAGTAAACATCCATACACGGGGCATAGGAAATGCCAGAGGAGATATCTTTGGAGAGGTGCCTTTGGAAGAGAAGATGGACGAGGAGAAAGAGAAGTTGTGTCAAAAAGGAGATTCCAGGAATATGGGGCAACATGGGAAAAATTCAGTAATGGGAGCGGAATCAGGACATTCTTCCCTGGAGCATTTTGGTTATAGTTCAGATCTGAGTATTACTGATATATTCAGCCTGTTAAAAGCACATTTCAAACTGAGGAACATCTGCAAATTATTCATTCTGCTTACCAGCAGGGGATGTTAACACCAGATACACCAGATTTAACTTCATGGCTTGCTGGCTGGGTGCAGCTATAGCCGGAAACACATTCTTTATCTCTAGCAGACAACATTTTCATATGCTCCTATCAACAAGGAGCTAATCACAATGATCCACTTTGGTTACTTCAAGGCTTGTCTACTGTAGAAAGCAGAAACCACACTGAAGCAGCAATTTACATAAAGCTTGGTGCCTCATTTCCTAAGACAAATAAGTGAACAAAACTACTCTGTTAGTGTTCCACAAGCTACTTTGCCTCTTACTAAGTATTGGATTCAATTCAGGGTCCTAGTTTTCATCTTCAAAGATCTTCATATGTTATCGATTGGATTTCTGTAACACAGCTTCTCCCTTTGTATCCCTTCAAGAACATTACCATCAGACAGGTGGTATGAACGGTACCCTGTATGAATGCCTGAAGTAATAATTCCCATTCTTTTCAATGCTCACAATTTATGGTTTATATTCTTCTAATAGTTATATGGCTTATTTAAGGATGCTTACAGTAAAGTAAGTATTGAAGTTGCTTTGCCTAAAAATACCATTTTTGGAATTAAACTGTCCCAACTGTTTAATGCTGCCTTTCATTTAGGACCATGGACTTACTGGAAAATATGGATAGTGGATGGGAAAATAATCTCCTCTTCTTTATTATACCCCTCTATGCATGGTTGATACCACGCCTTTCTAAAATTTGCCTTAGAAGTTTCTTGTAGGACTTATTCTTCTCTCCTAGAATTTTGGGAGTCAGGGTGACAGAGATGCTGTAATAGATTTAAAGTACTTTCTTCCCATGAGGATGGGACTATAATGGACAATGACTATCTTACGTGTTGCAGCTGTTAATATGTACTTACCATCACCTCAGCTCTGAAACTTAGTGTGCAGATATGTTTTCAAATATTGACTATTCATAGGTGGCTATTATTCTGGAGCATCCAAGTAGTTAGATGATGTTTTCTTGTATTTTTTAAGATGTGTTAATCATAAGGGTTTTTTAAAAAATCAGCACAAGGAAATCTAATACACCCTAGCACTACCACAACGTCATGTCAAATATGTATCATTTATTTTATGCCAACAATTTCACTCATGAGGATAGATGCCTTTCCTAATTTCTGCTTTATTTTTCATTCTTTACAATTCTTTTTACCTCATCATGTTCCATAATACTGAAGATTCCCTCTGGAAAATAAGTTTTACATAAGTATTGTTCTTTTTAAAAGTCTAACTGAAACCTAGACTAACTTCTTTTATGCATATTTTAATCTTTAGACGTAGCAGTTGATTTTTATAGTTAAAAGAACACTCTCATAAGTAATCAGCAATCAAACAGTACTGTGGATAGTTCAGGTAGTTTTGCAACCACCTTTTTCAGTCTCTCCCTTGTCTGGAACTTCCAAAATACACTTTATTGCTAGGATAGGTTTGTTGCTTATTAAAGTTTTCACAGACTTGGATGCAACTGTAAACATTCACAGCCTAATGATCTGTTTATATGAACTTTGAAGTGCTGGTCACTTTAACATTTAGGTACTGTTATAAACCAAGATTTGTATCAAGCTATATCCAAAATAGAATTTGAATTCTTATCCTTCCCTTATTTTAGCTAATGGTGTCTGTCTTCCGGAAGAACAATGCTGTACTATTCTTCCATTCCATTACTGTATAAAACTGATTAAAGAGAATGAAACGTTACTTGCTTTAATTAAGAGAAAATGTTCTCTCTCTCTCGATGATATAGTTTCCAGTAGAAGTGTACTGGCTCTAAAAGAAACAGAGCACTGAGATTTGGGTTGTACAGCTTTTTGAGTTACAGGTGATTTTCAGTTTTCATTATTGGTATAAAGTTTTTTGGATTTTGAACACTGAAGATAAATTTCTACACTAATCTTTTGTGTGGTTGTGTGGAGAAGGTTTCTCTCACAATACGGACTTTGATTTAGACTCGGATATCTAGTTCTTGCTCTAGAGATCAAGGAAGACAAGGATATTACAGAAAAGTTAGATGATGTATTTGCATCAGTGTTCACCACAGAGGCTCCTGGGAGATTCCTACCTTAGAGCTACATTTTATAGTTAATAAAGTTGATTCAGAGATTAAAGGTGTCAAAAATGCTATTGGAAGTGCTGGCCCTCATTTGTCACTCTGCACTAAATCACTAGGACCAGATGGAATTTAGCCAATAGTTCTGATGGAATTCAAGAATTAAGCAAATGAGTTGCAAATATGTTACTTCTTATTAAAATAAACCACTGCAGGTAGCCATGGCTGCACCTATTTTATAAAAGTCAGAATTGGTAGACTTGTCCCATAAGATTATAGCCTAGTGTGCCTTACTTACATATCAAGTAAATGAGCTGGAAAAAAAATTAAAAACCTCCCTAAAATGCCTAGCTGAGCATACATCTGGCTGGAGGCAGACAAGGAAAGGACATTTCCCTCCATTAAATGTTTACTATTCAAGTTGCTCAAAGCAGAAGTCCAGAACATTCAGCTTCAGGACACACACAGTAAAAGATGGACTTT